ATGTACAACCTGGAACAACTCAGCTCTTTATGTAACCAAAGTTAAAACGTGTGCTTAAACTACCAGTCACTGAGTAGGTGGTGAATAAAAATACCTTTGGTTGTAACAGGAAAACTAATTCCATTAACTCACTGTAGTTTTAACTTTATTTCATTACACGTTGTCTTAACTTAAAAAGATTGATGATGCAGACTGTTGTGATGTTTTTCGTTTGTTGAATGCAAACATAATTTTTAGAATGTAAAGAGTGAGAATCACAGGCCTTTATAAACTAATGAAACATCATGCATCCAACTAAGCTTATTTTTTCTGTATTTGTTTTGTTTTACATACAAAATTGGAATCAGAAAGCCTACATTGTACGTTCGTTCAGCTGGCAAGTTCAAACACACATCTCCTGCTGATCAAGACCAAACATGGGTCTGCTCGTGGAGCCTCGCTGCTGATGGATGAAGCTCAGCTCTGCTTCTTGTTCCACTTCCTTCCTCATGATGGCGCCGTTTGCTCAGACTACAGAGCTGCGTCTTTACCTGCTGTGGCAGGCCTAATATTAGCAGTCTGCTCCAGTTTAAACATATGGGCTTTAAGTTGTGCTCCGTGAGAAGAAGTGGTGGATAGGCCCCTGTGCCAGTGACTGCCTCGGTTCGTCATTTTGCGTCAGAGTAAACAAAGCGCTGACGTGAATGTCTCTCCTCAATAGGATGCTGAGCTTTAGGTGTGATTCAGAGGTGTACAGTGTTCAATCAGAAGCTGCGCTGACCTCCAGCTGGTGATTAGAACCACGCTTCTTGCAGGCCGATGAAACTAATGAGTTTCTTTCTTTTTTTTTTTAGACACCTTCCAAATTGAAAGCATCATGTCACTTACATGTGACTCTCTCCTGTGAGCTGTGAATTGTACGTCATGAATATCAATGCCAAGTTTAGTCCACTGCAATTTAATCTGGCTGCAGTATTAGTAAAAAATATTGTGGAGCCACAAGCATAAAGAAGTTATTGCTAAAATGCGCCAAATTAGGTGGAAAGAATTAGGCCCGACTGCCTCTTGGTTAATTGACACATACATTAACCAACAGTTTGGGCTTTTCTGGGCTTTTTTCCCCCCGTTTGAACATGTCAACCAGCACATTCTACCGAGGCAGACCATTTCAGAACAATGTTGGAAAAAGCCACATAGCTCTGTGAAGCGGCATCCTGCGTCACCAGCCCGTTTTTAAATCAGATTATTTCAACAATCTAACGGGCAGACCTTAGTGCTGTCATCGCACAAGCCATTAAAAGCCAACCCCTCGATATCTAACGAGCAATTATTGGAAATGATTAGAAAAAGTGACTGTAAAGTCTAAAAGCCGCAATTTGAGCTGATTCATTTCAGCACCGGACAGCTCCGGACTCCCCAGAGGCCTCCGACTAAAACCATCCCGTCATATGAAACCAACGGCGGCAGCAGCAGCAAACATGATCATTTCCCAGCTCAGTCATCATCATTAAAAGCATAATTGAACCTACTGGTGACGTGAGAAAAAAAGAAAAAAAAAAGAACTGAAAAAGAAAAGCCGTCGCGGTTGCGGTGCGCACAAATTGATTTGCGCCAGCGTGTGATTTCATGTATGCGCTGGTTTCAAAAAAGAGAAGAAAGTTTGGAAGTAAACTTCCATCTTAACAGGGAGGTGGGGGTGAGTCTGACTGATGCATCGATGAGGAAGAAACTGTACTATTATATTCCGGGAGGAAGACTTGATGACGTCTATAGCATCCTTAATGTGACTTATTGGAGGGAGGAGGAGGAGGATGGGGGCAAGGCTTACGATGCATGGATAAAAATCCAAGGCAATCACAGCACAGGACAAAAGTTTAGAGCAACGATATGTAGACGAACATACAGCGCACTTTCCCACCGAGTTTTTGTTTGCCTCTGCGACTGACCGAGTCCCGTGAATTGTGTCTAAAAGTGTGGTAGGCTGCACTGAGGGGCACATAAGGAGACGACGGAGGCGCTTCAGCCAGGAAAGAAGTGCCGTGAAAAAGAAACCGTCTCTCTCTCTCTCCACCACCACAGCAGCCGCGCCCGGATCACATCCTCCAGCTCCGCGCTCTCCCTGCTCCCCTGCTATAGGTATGTGCTTTGTCTCCGGATTGTCTTTGAAAAGAAAAAAAAAAAAAAAGAGGAAAAAGCTCGGAGAAATTCAGTGCTGGAGAGCCAGATAAAGTAATGGAAATCATCCTCTTTTGCTGAACTGCGTGGAAATCTGCATTTAAAAAAATCTGACTTTGGCGCTGCATGCAGAGGATGCGCCGTCAGCAACCTCCCGCAGTTAAACTTTTAACGAAATGGGACGAATAAAAGAAAAAGAAATGGTTTTCTGCTTTAAGCCAGCAGACTTTACGTTTATCTGGTGAATTTAGGTTCGATCCAGCTTTTTAGTTTAAAGAGAAGTAGCAGCAGCAACCTGTAAATTTGATGAAACAAAGGAAGATGATGCTGTTTCTTTGTAGTGACTAACCTGTTTCATGTTTTTCATTCTCTAACAGCATGGCCAGTTCGAGTAAAGCGACTTTAATCTTGCTCATCTACGGAATCTTAATGCACTACAGCGTCTTCTGCACACCTATCGGACTAAGTTACCCTAAGATTAGGTAGGTTTCTGCTTTACGGATCTTTACTATGTTTGTTTTTCTCTTATTATTATTGTTCCTCCATTTTAAATGCTGCTTAACATCAAATTTGTTCAATGTTGGTATTGCATTGTGATTAATTATGAAGTGATTTAGAGAATAGGTGCGCGCGTAATTACGCACGAACAACGCACGTAATTTTAAACCATCGAATTAAGAGGAACAACAAAAGGAAATGCAGTAATTTAAACACACACAAATCCAAGTCTTGTGTGGGAAATGGTTATGGAAATTGCACACATGCATCTGTCCGGTGGGACGGTTCACAGAACTCCCCTTATTAAAAATGAGAGTGCAGTCAGTGCAATGGATAGCCCTTGGGATGACGGTGGACTGGCGTCACCAAGGAGAGGCGAGGCAAAACGAATAGGAGAGCTCTACCCATTTAACATTTATTCTTTTTTTTCTCTTTTCTTTTCTCTTTTTTTTAAACTGCGAAAGGCATCTCTATAATTTGGGCGTGGTTCTTACTGATTCTAATTTTTTTCACAGCTATTTTGAGCGTTCTTTTAATATTTTTTTTGGCTCCACGCCTACACGAACCGTTATCATTTTCACATCCATTGTTTCGATTTTTAAATTATTAATGAGGCTGTGTTAGGATCAGCAGCACCGAGTTGGAATTTCAAACTGATTTTCCCAAAGGAAAAAGAAAAAAATAAACATTTTAAGAAAGAAAAAAAATAAAGCAGTGCACATTTAATACATTTTAAGCAATTATTTTCGGTCAAATTCAATAAATTCGTTTTCTGATTTTATTTAAAACCCACCCACAGCAAATTTTTTTTGCCCCGTTTTCTTCCTTTATCTCGATTGCATTTAACCTCCCACTGATTTTTAGCAGCAGCTGCAGACGTTTGGCATTCTTTCAGTGCTGCGTCCCACCTGTGAGGAAGATCAGAATTTGTGATGAATGTTCTTCCCTTTGCAGACTTGAAAACGACGCCTTCGATGAGGATGGGAATTCATTATCCGACATGGGTTTTGATAGCGATCAGATTGCTATACGAAGCGCACCATCCCTAAACGACGACGCGTACACTCTCTACTACCCACCAGAGAAGAGGTAAATGTGCCTCCAGCTCACAGCTAAAGCCTTGAGCTGGCTGGATTCCATTTGAATGACTTTTTTTGCGATAATGTTTGCTTGCTTTGTTTTCTCCCAGAGTTTCTCATGTTATTTGTTCTGTGTTATTTTCATACCGAGTAGCCTAAAATGTTAAATTCCATATACTGTTGGAGATATATATTTAAAAAAAAAAAAAAAAAAAAAAGGCGAACAGATTGGAAAAAGGAAAACACAATGAGGATCTGATTTTATTCCACCTGATGCGATTTGGGAGTTGCGGGTGGGTGGGGACATTTTAGGCTACTTTTGATCATTTTGTCTGCGCTTTTTTTTTATTTTTTATTTTAATTTAGTCACTGATGATCTATGTGTTTTGGCGTTTTATCATCTCAGACCAGAAAGGCATGCTGAGGAAGAATTAGATAGAGCCTTGAGGGAGATCCTGGGTCAGTTAACAGCGAGACATTATCTGCATTCTCTGATGACAATTCGTGCAGGGTAAGGGCATTTCTTATAAGCGTTCACCTGCAGTCATCTTCTTTTTTTTTCCTTTTCCTTTTTCTGTTTTCTGCGCTGCACGAGTTCAGGCTGCTCTATCACTGTCTGTCATTTTATGTTTGTTGTTTTGTTTTTTAAAAATTTATTGTTACTCCTCTAGAAAAAAAAGACATTTTCATTACGCATTTTGTTGTTGTTGCTGTTGTTGTGGTGGTGGTGATGGTGTGGCACTGCGATCATGATTATTGTCCTTTAAGAAAGCGTTTTATGAGACTAAAATACACTGCGATTTACATGTGATTAATCCATAAATCGATCAAATGAAAAATCATGCGTCAGAATACACAATAGGATATAAATGAATAATTGATAACTTTTTTTTTTTCTTTCCTCCTCAAAAATCACTGTTTCTTTCTGGCTGTCTTGCTTGCCGCCTTTTATTCCAAAGAAAAAAGAAAGAAAAAAAAGGATAAAAGGCCCATAAATGCATTATTGATGATTGCATCATGGCAAGATGGAGAGATTGTAAAAAAGCAACATCAAAAAAAAAGCAGAAATCTGTCAAGAAGTCGCAGCTTTAACTAATGGTATTGTGATTTTTTTTTGTGTGTGTGTTTTTCAGTGAAGACAACAGCATGGAGGACGGGTCAGAGCCTTTATCCAAAAGACATTCAGATGGGATCTTCACTGACAGCTACAGTCGCTATAGAAAGCAGATGGCCGTGCAGAAATACCTGGCAGCGGTTCTGGGTAGAAGGTACAGACAGAGAGTTAGGAACAAAGGACGCCGGCTTGCCTATTTGTAGCGTTGTTAAAGCGCCCAAACTGCCCTCCTGTGTATATACATCCAGTCGTTAAATCAAAGTCATTCAGATATATCTGACCAACCAGTGGATTGCGCCTGTGTTCTTTCAACATGTATTTATGTATGAAGTAAAGCCATTAAAATGAATATTTTAATAATAATATCGTTTTTTTTTTCTTTTTGTACAAAAGCACTTGATACCGCACAGTTATACTTTGTGGACCAATATTTTATTTTCATGTTAAGATGTTGAAAACAAAACAAAATGGAGAAAAAAGAAAAAAAAAGAAAAAAGAAAAAAAAAATACAAGAAGATGAAATCAGAAAAAAAAAAAGATAATTGTGCACCTTCAACGTTATGCGCTTGAAATCTTTAAAAGTCATCTACATATGCAGAAAATAAATAGATTTTAAAAAGACAATCAAAGTATTGAATGTTATACTTATTTTTGTAATCAACGTTCTATTTTTTTAGTGTTGTTTGTTTTCCAAACAGGCCCAAAGAAGCAGTGAGCATGCTATGTGAGGCATATCCGACTTATCCTAAATGATAGATGTTGCCCTTGTCCACCCTTCTCCACGCTCCCTTAATGGGAGCTCTGTGGGTTTGTATGGCTTGCTGCCCCTCCAGGGGGATTTCAGATGGCTTTTGTTGTACAGCCTCTCATTTGATGGATAACCGATTGACTTACACAGCAATTCATGTAACTGGTGGTAAAAATCCAACCTCCTTTTCAACAGAAATTTCATTGCAGGCTTTTGCAAGGGCACCATTGCCTTGACTAAAGATAAAAGAAGCAGTCAAGTTGCTGATGCAGAGAACACTGCTTGCTCACTTGCCTCAGAGTCATTTACAGTAGGAGGTAAATCATGCTCAATAGGACTGTGTAAAGAATGTTCCACATGTGTGTATTATGTACAGTGCAGGAGTTACACAGTGCACATATTCATCTCATCGTTGTCTGTGTTCAGTCAACAGAATTATTTGGAAGAATGTGCTTCAGCTGTTGATTGTATTTGGGCAGCAAATATTCAGAAACGAAGCAGAACATGAGCTGGAGGTGGTGAGGAGAGGTAGCATCTGAGTTACAGTTAGGAATATTTAACTATTGTTTCGAATTTATTGGTGCATGTAGAAACTGACACCTTGCTAATTTTCACTTACAAACTGCATGTCATTGTGCTTTTGTTGCTATTTGGGAGGTGGACTGTGCTAAGCCTATTTCAGCATCACTCCCCCTCAGCCGTTTAGTGATGGAAATGTGAACAAGGAGGGCTAGAGGTGGCAGAAACTGGTACTGCACTGACTTGTTGAATTTTTTACCTCCCCTGCTGCTGTCATTGTGGATATCATAGGACAAGACACTGGACCCCCCCGTTTTGCTGTTTGCTTTCGTCCTGGTTGCAGTTTTTTAGGATTCTTTTGCTTCTAGATGCTAAATTGTTGATGGTGCGGTAGTTGTGGTACAACTGTTGAGACAAAGCTGATCTGTGTTATAGACGTCTGCTGGGTTATGTGCAGTGAGGATGTGAGAAACAAGAATGAGGGAGTGTCAGTTGAAAACCAGAGGTATGCATGGAGAGGCACAGAGAGCCAGAGAAAAAGGGATGCGGTATGTGTGTGTGTGTGTGTGAGAGAGAAAAGGGAAGTAAAGTAGGCAGTTACATAAGAGACAGGTTACAGCGCCCACGAGCCAGAGATGGGTTGTCGCACGTCCACATAGAAACAAAAAGAAAAAAGAGGTGATAGCGTGGCCGCCTCGCCTCACCTGCCACAGTGAGATCAGGGTCAGTGAGTCTGATGAGGAAAATATCAGATGTTGAATTCCCCTCACACAGCAGAAGGATTTACCTGGTATGTGAGTGAAGCCGGACGAGGCCACTCTTGAGTTTAAAAAAAGAGGTGAATGAAATTCAGCCCTCAAGCAGAGGGATATTCCCTCTAACTTTTATTGGAGACATATTTCATGTATTTATTCAATATTATGCAAATGCAGCTTCATGCGCCCCTGCGATCTAATCAGTGGCCTGTGTTCCCCCCCCATAGAAACTATCAACACACTCTTTCTTCAATTAGGCTTTATCCTACAGGCTTTGTGTGGATGTGGACGTTTGCATATCATTGTGTTTACGTGTGAGCGCGCGTGCATTCAACGTTTGTGTGAGCGAATGAGTGACTGAATGGGCACGTGGAGGTGGAAACAGCTTTTGGCTTTGGTGCCTTGCTTCGACGTGAGAAAAAAAAAAAAAGAAGAAAAATAACAAAAAAAAAAAAAAGAAAAAATTCGCCACAAGTGACAGATGGCAATTTTAGTGGCCCTACAATGCTGCAGTCCATTAGCTTACATTGAAACTTCCTTTTACTCTGTTTAATCGCTCGGCTTAGTCTGCCCCAGGAGTAGTAGAATTAGGCTTTCTTTTAAAGCATGGCCAATGATTTCTTGAGTAAAAAAAAAAAAAAAGAAAAAGAAAAAAGAATAGGCTGTATATGTTGGTGGAGCAGGCAGTGTGTGTGTGTGTGTGCGTGTCTGTTTGTGTGTGTGTGCGCATGAGTTTGGGGTGTTCAGTGTCTGTGGGAGTTGTGAACAATGACCAGTGTTTGTTATTGTTGATTATGAGGTGTTGTTGATTATTTTGATATTGGTCAGTAATTTATTAATCAGAAAATAGCCCCTATATATTATTTCCAACTATGTGCATCACTATCTAGAATAAAAGGGTTTCAGAACATAACAGAGATGTTGTTCAGATCATAGAAAATGCCTGTTGTTGATATTTCTGAAAGCGCCAAACGCCTTACTTCAATGTTTAATCTCTTATCTATCTGAAAACAATGTGTTTTAAAAGTGAACCTTAGTACAAGTGACATCGTTATACACACAGGAGTCCTTATATGGGGTTTTACGTTTCTCAATGTTATGAAAGTGTTGTAAGATTTGTATGAATAAATTTTTGTAAACAACAAAATTTTCTAATCAATGTCTAATCTTTGAAGTACATCATTTAAAAAAAAAAATGTGTCGTGAAACAAAGACAACAGCTACACACGCTGACCAGAGCCTTACCATTGGAACCAGCCTTTGAAAGTTGAGCTCACATGATCACCAGGCGCCACATATTCCTCTGACCGTCACAAATCGCCTCCTGTAACAAACACAAGGGTGAAGAAATATTGCAGAGAATACGGTGAGACATCATCCAACAGTCACAGCACCAGCTCCAGTGGGTTATAACAACCTGAAGCCCAAGCAGCTTCAAATGATCTTTCCAAAAACAGGCCATAAACAGAAATGAAAGTATTGGTGCATTGTGTGGAATGGATCTAACCTCAACATTTACATCACATCCTAAGCAAAAAGCAGACTGAGGTGTCTTTCATTCCTATCTTCTATCCTCACCACCACATTTCCAAATGTATTTTTTTAGAATTTCAAGTTGCATTTTATGAAGCCGCTGAATTTGCATAAATAAATGAACCTGAAACTCAAACGGAGGAACCACCAAACATCTCTGAGGAGCTCATCAAGAGAAGCTACGACTCTGGACTGAGCAGCAGAGCTGGCAGAGAGCTTCCCTCCTCGTGGAACAGCCGCGTCTTTCTCCTCACTCCATCCTTGGCCTTGGAAGTGCAGCTGTGTCCCGTGGGAGAGGAGGATGGGTGTGGCAAAGGATTGTGTGTGTGATCTGATCCTCATAAGCCAGCATGAGTGTGTGTGTGTGTGTGTGTGTGTGTGTGCATCTGTGAGTGCACATGCACCAGAGCTCAACTAACCCAATCAGAGAAATGTTGCATGGCAACGGTCCACAAAGGGACACGGTTATGTATACGCATGTGTCAAGTGTGTTTGTATGTGTGGAACGGGAGCGAAATAGAGAGATTGTGTATGTGAGTGTGTTTGTGCGCAAGTGTTTTTGGTGATTTGTGCGCTCTACACAGGCAGACCTTGAGCAGACTCTGCATTGGAATGGGGTTCGGCATTACACCTCACATTCGTGTGCACACATATCGCCTGCAGAGCAGAAGAAACACAGATGCACACTATATGTCTCTCACAGATTCTGTAACAACACCAACAGTCAGAACACAGGTGTTAAATACGATTAATGAAATTCAACAAAATGAATTAGCCACGAGAAACCGCCACACGCTCACAGTCTGTGACATACATCTTTGTTTCTTCCCCGAGGACGCTGATTCATGGGAGTTGCCCTGTTGCTATGAAAAGGCTGACAGATTGTCAATTGTCAGGGTTTGAGCTACCTGTGAGATATATAGGTTGTTTCCTTCCTATTCTTTAGCTGTCAGAAAGGCAAACAGGCTTAGTCCTCTTGACAAGCAGACATTTCTCCTGTGACATTTCAGGTTTCACAGAAGATGCATGGAGCAAATAAGTCAGGTAAAAAGAAAATATATAAAAAATTGGGTTTGATATTCATGCCCTCATACGCCCACAAGAGGATATCGAGACAAATGCTACAATTTGTTTGCACAGCAGTAGGCTTCACATGGGGGGCCACCCTCAACCAATTTGTACATAATGTACATTAATGCCTGAATCAATAAAAAAAAAGGCTCCTCCTTCCTCATAGCAGTGCATCATCTCTCCTCTGTGGCATGCATCGCTCCACTCCTTATCTCTCCATTAGCATTTCTGAGATGCTTCACAGTTGATCTTCATTTTTCTGGAGAGTCGTGTCTCTGGGTTGTTTTGTTGGTGGGCTCATTGGGGGGGGAAATGGGAAGAGCTCCTAAATTTAGAGCTAAAAAAAAAAGCAGCCTACACACAGTTTGGAGTCACACACAGCTTTTAGTAACGTTCCCTCTGCCTCCAGACACATCTTAATCATGTATAAAGTGTTGGAGGGGGAAGGGGAGGTTGTGTTCAGGGCTTTTCCAGTGAGGATACCCACCTCCCTCCCTCCCTCACCACAGCCACACCCATCTTTCTTTGTCACCAAGTGTTTGATGAGCCTGTGAAGCCAGAAGGGAATTTGCGTAAGTATTACTGATCTATTGCTTGTATGATCAACATTTCCTCCTTTTCCTTTAGTCTGTGTGTGTGTGTGCTCATTTACCTACAGTAAAAACACTGCCCCCTCCTCCTCCTCCCCAGCATCCCTCTTGCATGTCAGGGTTAAGAATACAGCTCTCACAAGAGAGGCCCAGGCACAGCAGTGATGCAATCACCCTCCCTCCCACTCACCCCCTCGCCTTTCACCTCATAAATCATTCAGTGGCCAGGTTTGGGGTGGGGAGAGGGGGCAGTCTGGTCATGCCTGCAATGAAACTCTTGATTGCGGATGCCATGAAGCCCCCGGTCCCCCTCTCCTTTGAATCCCATCTTGTGGTGGGCTCTGTCACATCTACCATTGAGCAGGAGGCACTCTGTGGTGAGCAGCAGCCCCTCTGGGAGCAGCACAAGACACCGAGAGATGCACAGAGGAGGCAGGGAGGGGGAAATAGAGATGGGGGCGAGGGTTTGCAGACATGGACCACTGATCAAGAGTTGCTTCTGGCTTAGAGGGAAACACGTTACCTGTGCTGCTTGAGTAATCATGGGTGACCAGATCTATCCATCATTTATTATGAGGCTGTTCGGCCAGGAAGGAAAATGAGCATCTCAAATGTAATTTTCTGCTACTGTACTGCATGTGTATCTTGAAATAAACAACATCCTGGGACTTCACAAAAGATGTTCAAAGTATCATGCGTAGTGATCATTTCAACACTTGCCAGAGCAAAGCAATTATTTCCAAATAAGGCAGATTAAAACACGAGATAAGCCACGAGATAAGCCTAGCTCACCCCAAAGGAAATTGAACCAAAACGCTGAACACATAAAGAAAAATAACTATAAATAAACAAACATAATAAAATAAAGCACAATTAACAGTGTAATACAAAATTATAGAGCCAGCTACAAAAAATTAAATTAATTGTGCAACACGTGAATACAAAAGACAAGAAATTAAAATGATGGTTGCAATAATTAATTCTGAATCAAGGAAAACTAATCATAGACGTTTCAGGGGCAGTGCAACAAGATGAAAACTACACTAAGTCTGTGGAGATTCCCAGAGGTCCAGTTCATGGCGATCCTAGCAGACGTAGAAGGAAACAGGGCGTCTCTGTTTGGGTTTTTGAAGATGTTTCGGGTCTCATTCAACAGGCTCCTTCATTTCTAAGTGATTGACAGGGACTGCATGTACAGCCTTGCTCAGTTTGTGTGTGGGTGTTTTATCCTTGGGGTGAATGAGTTTTTGTCTCAGAGTGTTGCTGGATCTGAAGTGCACTAGTATGTTGTGCTTGGAGAAAATCCTTGTAAGTTTTTTTGGCACTCCAGCTACATAAAGGATGACAATGTTGTTCTGCCTGTTCTTCTTTTTACCTCTGTTTGATGATTTCTGTTTTTTTTTTTTTTTCCAGACGTCTTTGCTGACTTCTCCAAACAGAGGCTGAGGTCTAATCCTCAATTACAATGCAATCTTCAGACCCAGTCCCAGAAAGCTTCACCGCCATGTCGAGTGCATTCCTCATCTGGCAGTTTCACAAATATTCACATGTCAAGGCAAGTGGGTCATTAATGGGCCATTAGCCATGTGAGTGGGGGGGCTACAATACATATCTGAGACTCCCCATCAGTCAGTTAGAACTGAAGAAGCCTCTTGGATGAGAGCTGAAACGTCCAGCTGCCTCTCTACTGAAGTTCTTAAGACACAAACTACAGGTGCAATTGGAGAGCAGTGTCTTCTACCAAGGCCCGTTCCCTGTCTGACAGTCTTAAAGAAAATAATCTGGGTCTGAACCAAAAATTAATGGGTTCCGTCTTTGGTCATGAGCCACCTCCTCACTGGGTTGTATAAAATTTGGCAGGGTGGGTTTCAAATAAACCTGCTGACAGATCAAATAAAAAGACAGACAGTTGCACAAACAGGACTGAAGATATACCGCTGCCTTGGCAGAGGAATAAAAACCCAGCTTCATCATCTTGGAAGGTTACTGTGCCAAATATGTCAGCAAGCGATTGGCTGTTGGAATTTCTAGCAGATACAGAGCGATAAGCGATAAAATGTTCCACTATGTTCATCACCTAGTTGCAAACTTTGTTTGTCTGCTGTTTGGTGCTGCAGCGTACAGCGAGTTTTAAATCTGCTTCACTAAAAACTGCATCCAGATGGGTGTATTATGAAGCAAAATGAATGGGTGAACAGGTTTGAGTTTTCAGTGTCACGAGGGCATCTTTCCCTTAATCTGCTAGATCGCCATGGTAACATATGCTGCATGGCTAGACTGGTCTGGAGGAGGTTCTGTTCAGAGTTTTGGATTTAAATCAGCTATTAAAAAGCATCTCCCTTCTACCACATCTTTTCCTGACCATTTCCTCCCTACGCGATCCAGCTGAGGAAACACATTACATCCGCAAACCTGTTGAGCTGCATGTTAGTAATGAAACTAAAGGAAACCAGTAGTGCACACTGTGCCATGGGAAACAAACACATTCATTAGAAATGCAGAAAATGCATAAAACATTTCATACTTGGTCCTGATTTGCTGAAAAATCTGTTTTACACTGCAGCTTTGGCAGCTGATAGAACACAGATTAGAAAATTAATTGGTCTGTTGTTGTTGTTAGTGTTTTGTTTTTGTTTTTTGTTTTTCATTACAGACAATAGTCAATAAGTAACATACATTTTACTTTGTTTTGGCCAAAAACTAAAGTGATGTATCCCTCATTATAGGACAGTGTCAGACCTAAATGCACCGCTTAAATGCATGAAATATATAAAGCTGTAATAATAATTGTCTGTAGGTTTGCCCCTACAAGGGTCACTTTCATATGAAACACTAATTTCATTTATTGTTATGTGTGTATGCTATGTAATATTAAAACAAATATTGATTAACCCAGCTTTAATGAGTTGGTAGGAGAAGTAAAATAGCCATAGCACTTGATGTCTTCCCTGTC